ACTCTTCTCCCATCTCCAGGTGTCACCAAGCTCCTCAGTTTCTCTAGTACTGTATTAGCTGGTGACCACCAATCTAGCAGGGGAACACCACCTCTGTGCATCTCCCACTGCATCTTTATTTCCCTCAGTGACTTCAAGCATTTAGGTCTCTCCTAGTGCTGGACTGGGTTCCCTCCTCTAGGAGGGAAAGGAGCTGCAAGGTGTGATTGCTGATCCAGCTCTCTTCCAAAGGCAGACACCGTCCCAGGCCCCAGGCTCCTGACTACAGCAGTCATGGTCTGTGCACAGGTCTCAGGGAACTTACCATCCCTACACAACCTCCTTACCATCTGTTTTTCAATATCCTCTTCAAACTTAGACTTCCCAACTTGATATAATCTGGGATTCCTTTGGGTGTTCATGATATTCTTCAGAAGATCAGGATCAGGATCAGAACTGGGATACCTTTATCCCAGTTGGCTGCACAAGCAAGTTGTGATTACTCCACAATTTAGTCATAATTCCAGATTGGTTCTGGATGGAAGTTAAATGTAACTTCCATTCACTCCTCCACCCTTTTAATCTGTGTTGTTATTTTAAAAAATATTAATAAATTGAAATGTTTGGTGATCAGTGTTTTATATTTGTTAAGTGTACAGACATTAAAAGATGATTTATTGAGTAACTGTGGTATAATATATGAAAGTTAGGTAGAGATCTAAAAACTACAATTTCATTAACATGCTAAATCTTTATAACTCTTAGAATTTTAGGAATTCCATTAAATTAAACTCTTTAAATAGACTTTCATTATCATTCCATTGAGTTTAAAATAATTTTGTATATAATTTTTTTAATTTTACATAATTTGTAGAAACAATGATAACTTTTAAAATACATTAAACCAATGTGGAAAATATCAAATATTTATAAGGTAATTTAAACCTGGTATTGAACCAACCAAAATATTATACTAAAATTGTTCTTAAGTGACAAACTAATTTTACTACAATTCTAAATCATGCTAAATATTTTATCTTGAAATTAAGTCTTTTCTGATTATTTTATAACTATAGTACGAAGGCTATTATGAATATATAATTTTTGATACCTCAAAAACAAACATCATTTAGTAACTTTTCTTTTACTTTTTAGAGTACATGAAGAATAACTGAATTATTTTTGATCAGTTAATCTTTAAAGTTTCATAAGAGGGGAAATAGAAATGGGAACTGTGAAAGAAAGGAGCCAGCACCAGGCATGGAGAAGGAAGAATGTTTAGATGCATAGAAATAGATTTTACATAGACACACAAAAGAAGGGTGACATGCAGCTGACTTTGAAATAACTTGGACCCTTGACCATTTTATCAAATCATAAAGTTAATAAGCTAGCACTTACTAATCCTCAAAGCACAGAAAAGAGAACAGAATGTCTCTCACATTAAAAGAATGATCTCTCTTTTAACAAGACATTTAATCTTCTCATGAGTGTTCTTTGCTTTTTATTCTAAGGTACCTCTCAAGGAACACTCTTGTTCATGTCAGAAGCTCCCAAAAGTGGCCAGTACTATTCCAAATCATCTCCTTTGAAATTGTTCCAGTTAAAGAAATAAAGCATACAATTTATCCATGGACAAGGTAGCATATCAAACAAAACAAAAAATGCTAGGGATCTCAGATGTGTTCACTTTTACTGCACTGAGGCCTGACCCAAAAAAAGAGAGTAAGTACATCTGGTGAATCTCACTGGAACCTCCATTTATATCAATGCCCTCTAGAAACAAATTGGTACACACAATTGTTTAAGCCAAAAGAAGAATGTATGTCATGAAGAATCATGAGACATTTCATAAAGAGGGATAAAAAAACTTATTATAGAAAGAATTTATATAGAAAGGGGCTTGGGATTGTATTAGGTAATTTTGGAGAGGGTTTAGGGAAGCAGGGCTTTGTTCTAGATTTTATTCTGTCAAGAAATGGGATAATTCTATGATTGACTATTTTAATTAATGTTATCTATATATATAGGGCAGAATGAATTTGGTCTAAAGCTGTAATTGGTTAAGAAACATCGGTCCTTCAAATTAACCAGGCTGCGAGACAGTTTGATATTCTGTGGCATAGATAATGTTTGTATTTTGTTTGTATTCAGACATGACTGTGAAATGGTCTTCTTCTTATTTAGATTCACTATAGTCACAGAGTGACCTTAGTGTGTGTGTGTATTCTGTACTATTATTTTTATGTTCAGAGGAAAAATACCAAGTCCTAGCAGTAAGTGTCAGGATATCTCATGACAATGCAAAGACACAGTGATTATACCAGTCTAGGTTCTGGATGTCAGCTTTTCTTTCTCATTTTAAGCCAAGCACCACTTTCTTCAGGTCTTGAGACATATTATCTGAAGACAAAGTTAGTTAATAAAATAAATAATAGATATTTTTTCTGTTAGAAAAGAAATGCGTTAGGGGTGACAAGCAATGCACATGTCAAAGGTATGCTGTAAATTAACAAAAATATCTCCAACTGGCTCTCCTGTACAGAAGAATGGAATTGGGGGAGAGATAAATGTATATTAAGATGTTCTTAAGTCAGTCTTTTGAATGAATAGTTCAAACAGGCTTTTTAAGCACCTATTTTGAGCTGGATTTATAGTTAAAAGTAAAAAATGTCTGAATGAGAACAATATACCCTTTTTGTTCAGCACAGAAATGCTGTATAATTTGCTGGGGAGATAATGGAACCATTGCAAAGATAAAACCAATGTTTGTAAAAGTCTGTTTACCACTGGTCTAATAATAAATCATCTTCTCATAGTCTTTTCATTTGCAATTGATTTCTGGAGGTTAGAAACAAGTTTATGACTCAGGGGGTTAAAGTCAGTAGGATGAATTTGATGTCTCAGTTCATGCTGGATTATAGGTAGCAATAGAATTGAAGGGAATGGAAAAAAACAAGAACTCATAAAATAGGTTTGGGCAAGAGATCAGAAAAGCCATATGAGCAAATAGGACATTAATACTAAAAATACATCATGTTATTCTTCAAAATCCATGACAAATGGCTGGCATCATGGGGTTGGTAGAGAACTGGAAAGCTAAGTTAGATATACTGCATCATCCATAAAGAAAGGATACAATTACTGAGGCAACTTAAGGTACCTTTCTGCTTTTATTTGTGAGCCTACCCTATAGGCTTAACTTTGAAGAACAGTTTATCTTATGTGAGACTTCACCAGAAGAAAGCGTAAAGAAGACCAAACATTGAATTGCTGGATAAATTAAATCAGCCAAAGTCAAAGTAAACATTTCAGAAAACAGAACACTCCCAGACAGAGACTTTATGTTGTCTTGTAGTGGTGATACTATTTTAATTAGCATTTTCTTCTTTATTTTTACTACCATAGCTCACCTGCCTATCCTCCTGAAATGGGTTATTAATGTCCCCCATATTGTTTTAAATGCTTGTATTAAAGTCTGTCCAGCATAAGTCAAAATAATAACTACACTTTCATGAGAATAATGTATATAATTAGACTATGCTAGAAGTCTTATGTATACCATTTTTAATTCCTACTCAAATCCTGCAAAATTGGTATTATATATATTTTATATAAAGAAATGGAGATTTGAAGAAGTTGTGCCTTAAATGTATTCAAATAACTGGGTCCTGGGTCTTCTTGTTCCGATATTAAGATGTCCAACTTTCTCAGGGCACCTGTGATTGAATTCAGACTTGGCAATCCCAGGCATGTCCCCTTGAACACTTCAGTAAAAATTTCACCTTTCCACACAGGCTACTCTTCACCTCCATGAGTGCTTAGAGCTGTTATCTCTCATAGTAGTACTTTATCTTAATTTTCCACCAAAGACACGCAAAACCCATGATGAGATAGATGTTACTTTTGTAGGTATTGATCGTTTTGTGGTTCTTTCTTCTGTGACCATTTCCTGTGACTACAAGTGTGCTTTGTCCACTCAGTTTTCCTTCTCCTAAATCATTGTAATATGTATGTTGAGTAATACAAAATTTAGTGTGGACATATAGTACAGTAAGACATATAACTTCATTGAACTGGAGCATTACTTAAGTTAATAAGCATATTTTTTAAATTTTTGAATTCAGAGAAACAGAAAATCACAAAGGACGACAGATAAAGACATGACCCTCAGAGGCCTGTGAGAGAAAGGGATCTAGTACCAACACTGATGATATAATCTCCAACATTCACCACTCCCACCAGCTTCTGAAAGCCAACACTGCAATTTGCTAGTGCTGAAAACTCTCTCACCAGGATGTGTATGCATATGTCAAATGTCTCGCTACTTCTATTTGGAATGACTTCCTGTCTTTTTTTGTTTGGAAATTGTCTTGTGAATTTTCATAATTTTTTAATCTAGAGTGAGTGCTCAAACTAAATTTCCCAGTTAAACTTTCAGAAATGTTAATCTGAGTATTTCTTAGGTTTCCAAAGGCCAACCTTTCTAATATTATGCCATTTTATGTTTCACTCAGCATTCCCTAACTCTTGTCAACTTATCAGACACTTTTTAGTCAGCTGTATCATGTATCAAGTATCATAGTAAATATTGGTAAAATTAACCACAGGAAATCAATAAACATCAAAGCTCTAAATACAGCATCTATTTTCCCTAGAAATCAATAATTATTTTAAATTTCAATGACAAAATCAAGTACTTATTTTCTTTATAATGAGATAAAATTATACTTATAAATTGTCAAATTAACGTTCAAAATGACATGAGAAAAGTTATGTCAGCTTCATAGGCACCTTATTGTCCTTTAAAATAAAAGTTTTATGCTGAAGAGGAAAAGATGAGTTGTTGAGAGATATTTGGACACCTCAGAATGTGTCAAATTTCCATGTGTATAAATTCAATTATATAACATTTCAGAAAAACCTGTGCATATTAAAAGAAAATAAAATTTAGAATATTAATATTTAACATAATTTTAAAAATTAAAGTATATTCACACTGATTTAAAAATATATCTCTTGTGCTTGCTTCAGTAGCACATATAATAAAATTGGAATGATACAGAGAAGATTAGCATGGCCCCTGTGCAAGGATGACATGCAAATTCATGAAGGGTTCTATAGTTTCGGAATAGAGTGAACAGCCAACAGAATCCCAGCAGATATGAAGTTTGGAAGCCAAAGTTTGCAGAAGACTCTTAAAAACTGATAGTAAGGTGATTTTGTAGGGATGGGGAAGGTCCTAGGGCCCTGCACTGAAGACTGTGGCTGATATAGGAGCATTTGAGGAGAGCCTGGTCAGTGATTGTAACTTAGCAGCTCCCTCCCCTCCTGAGGGGACAGTCACAGACCTACACCAGGAGAGATGGACCCTTAAAGTCACTGGGCAGATAAAGACGCAGTAAGAGACACACATCCAGTGGCATACACCAGCTGGGACTGAGGTTGGGGGTCACTGGATGGCAGAGTATCAGAGAAATTGGGGAGCTAGGTAATATCTAGAGATGGGAGAAGTGATAGGCCAGGACTGGCCATGACCAGGATAATCTGTGGGCTGATCAGAGAGTCGGTCTGTGTAGAAAGGCTGATACTCCTTAGAAATGGCCAATGACACCCAAAGAGAACTCACTCCAAAGAAATCTCAGCCATTGTGCAAGGACCTCTGGAGCACAGTGGCCAGGCTAGTGTCTAGAAGAGGGAGGAGTGAGAGTATGACTGGCTCTGGCCCAGGACATCTCACAGATTGATCAAAGGAGAACAGCATGGGCTCAGAGAAGTAGCAGCACCCAGGCCAAAAGAAGGGGGAGGAAGATGAGTGTGATCTGTTTGCATTTAGTGCACCTCATAGACTATAATCAAAGGGTTGCACAATGAGGTAGATTACCAGCACCAGCCTGGCACATATGCACAGAGTGGACAGTGTGGGCTGCACAGCACTTTGAGGGTATGGGCTGAAAACTGGGAACCTGTTAATATTGTAGCCTAAACCAAGACCCCATCCTCATGGAAGCAAAGAAAATGAAAAAAATGGAGAACAGATCTCCTGAGGCTTCAGTATTAGGGAATATCAAAAAAACCCTCTTGTCAGGTTAAAGTCAGAACGAAATTTGTTTTTTCAAATGTAGACAATAGCCTGAAGCTGTGAGAAGACAAAAAACAGATCCAGAAAGAGGTCAAATGGCAAGTAACAACAACTGAGACAAATATTGTTTCACTATCCTGCAGAATTTGAATTTTTAATTTAGTTCTTTTCTCTTGTTTTTTATCCAGTTTCTTTTTTTAAAAAAATTATTTAGTTATTTTTCAAGTACAGTTTTTCGTCTATTTCTCCCATCCCAGCCTCTCCTGCCCTGTGCGCCCTACCTCCCTCCCATTTCCACCCCCCCTTAGTTCTCGTCCCTGTGTCCTTCCTATTTGTTCCTCCAAATCCCTCCCCGTTTTTCCCCTTAAATTCCCTTCCCTGTCCCCTCTGGTCACTGGCCCCTTGTTCTCTATTTCAGTGTCTTTGTTTTTTTCTCCTTCCTTGTTTGTTTTGTTGTTTAGCTTCTTCTTAAAGGTGACATCATATGGTATTTGTCTTTCAACACCTGGCCTATTTCACTCAGCATAATGCTTTCCAGTTTAATCCATGTTGTTGCAAAGGGTAGGAGCTCCTTCTTTCTTTCTGCTGCATAGAATTCCATTCTGTATATGTACCACCATTTTTTGATCCATTCATTTACTGATGGGCACCTAGGTTGCTTCCAACTCTTGGCTATTGTAAATTGTGCTGCTATGAACATTGTGGTGCATAGGTTCTTTGCAATTGACGTTTTAGGATTCTTAGGATATAATCCTAGCAGTGGAATTGCTGGGTCAAAAGGCAGGTCGATTTTTATTTTTCTGAGAAAATTCCATACTGCTTTCCATAATGGTTGTATCAGTCTGCAATCCCACCAACAGTGAACTAACGGCCCCTTTTCCCCACACCCTCTCCAACATTTGTTGCTTGTTGCTTTGTTTATGACAGCCATCCTGACTGGTGTAAAGTGGTATCTCATTGTGGTTTTAATTTGCATCTCTCTGACAGCTAACGATATTGAGCATCTCTTCATGTGTCTCTGGATATTCTGTATGTCTTCCTTGGAGAAGTGTCTGTTCAAGTACTTTTCCCATTTTTCAATTGTGTTAGATGTCTTCTGAGAGTGGAGTCTTATAAGTTCTTTGTATATTTTTGGAGAATAAAGCTTTGTCTGAGGTATCATTGGTAAATATGTTTTCCCATACAGTTGGTTGTCTCTTTAATTTAATACTGTTTCCTTTAGCCATGCAGAGCTTTTTATTTTGGTGAGATCCCATTTGTTTATTCTTTCCTTTATATTCCTTGCTCTAGGGGACATATCTGTAAAAATGTTGCTGCATGAAATATATGAGATTTTCTTGCCAATGTTCTCCTCTAAAACTTTGATGGTGTCACGACTTATATTTAAGTCTTTTATCCACCTTGAATTTATTTTTGTGTATGGTGTAAGTTGGTGCTCAAGTTTCATTTTTTTTGCATGTAGCTGTCCAGTTCTCCCAACACCATTTGTTGAAGAGGCTATCTTTACTCCATTTTATGTTACTACCCCTTTTGTCAAATATTAATTGACTGTAGAGAGTTGGGTTGATTTCTGGGCTCTCTGTTCTGTTCCATTGGTCTATGTGCCTGTTTTTATGCCAGTACCAGGCTGTTTTGATTACAGTGGCCTTTTAATACAGTTTGATATCAGGTATTGTGATCCCTCCTACTTTGTTCTTCTTTCTCAAAATGCAGCTGCTATTCAGGGTCGTTTATGGTCCCATATAAATTTTTGAAGTGTTTGTTCTATGTCTGTGAAATATGCCATTGGTACTTTAATAGGTATTGCATTGAATCTGTATATTGCTTTGGGTAGTATGGACATTTTGATGATGTTAGTTCTTTCAATCCGTGAACAAGGTGTATGTTCCCATTTGTTTGTGTCTTCCTTGATTTCTTTCTTCAGGGCTGTGTAGTTTTCTGCATACAGGTTTTTACCTCCTTGGTTGGGTTTTTTACCAGATATTTTATTTTTATTTTTGCTACATCCAATGGAATTTTTTCCTTGATTTCTGCTTCTGCTGACTCATTGTTGGTATACAAAAATGCCTTTGATTTCTGGATATTGACTTTGTAACCTGCTGTTTGCCAAATTCATTAATTAGTTTGAGCAGTTTTTTGGTAGAGTATATAGGATTTTCCATGTACACTATCATGTCATCTGCAAACAGTGACAATTTTGCTTCCTCCTTTCCTATTTGGATGCCTTTTATTTCCTTTTCTTGCCTGATAGCTGTGGCTAAATTTTCCAATAAAATATTGAACAGAAGTGGTGAAAGTGGACTTCCTTGTCTTGTCACTGATCTTAATGGAAAAGGTTTTAGTTTTTGCCCATTGAGTATGATGTTGGCTGTAGGTCTCTCATAAATGGCCTTTATTATATTGAGGAATACTCCCTCTATTCTCACTTTGCTGAGTGTTTTCATCATAAATGGGTGTTGTACCTTATAGAAAGCTTTTTCCGTGTCTATTGATATGATCATGTGGTTTTTGTCTTTGCTTTTGTTATGTGATGTATTACACTTACTGATTTGTGAATATTGAACAATCCTTGCATACCTGGCATGAATCCCACTTAGTCATGGTGTATGATCTTTTTGATATATTGTTGGATGCAATTTACCAATATTTTGTTGAGGGTTCTAGCATCTTTGTTCATAAGCCATATGGGCCTGAAGTTTTCTTTCTTTGTTGTGTCTCTATCTGGTTTTGGAATTAAGATGATGCTGGCTTCATAAAAAGAATTTGGGAGTTTTCCATCCTTCTGGATTTTTTGGAATAGTCTGTTGAGAATAGGGTTTACCTTTTCCTTAAATGCTTTGTAGAATTCTGCTGTGAAACCATCTGGTCCAGGGCTTTTGTGTGATGGGAATTTTTTGATTAGTGCTTCAATTTCTTTTGCTGTTATTGGTGTGTTTAGATTTTCTGCTCTTTTTCATTGAGTTTTGGAAGATTGTATTTTTCTACAAATGCGTCTATTTCCCCTAGGTTTTCAAATTTCTTGGCATACAGTTCTTCATAGTAATTTCTTACAATCCCTTCTATTTCTGTGGTATCAGTTGTAATCTCTCCTCTTTCATTTCTGATTGTGTTTATTTGAGTCTTCTCTCTTTTTTTCTTGATGAACCTACTCAAAGTCTTGTCTATTTTGTTTATCTTCTCAAAGAATCAGCTCCTGGATTCATTGATTCTTAGAATTGTGCTTTTAGTTTCTATGTCATTTAATGCTGCTCTATTCTTGGTTATTTCCTTCCTTCTACTTGCTCTGGACTGTCTTTGTTGTTGTTCCTGGAGTTCTTGCAGGCGTAGGGTTAGGTTGTTTGTTTAAAATGTTTCTATCTTCTTTAGGTAGGCCTGTATTGCTATAAACTTCCCTCTCAGGACTGCCTTTGCTGTGTCCCATAAGTTTTGGGTTGTTGTGAGATCATTTTCATTCATTTCCAGAAACGTTTTGATTTCATCCTTGATTTCATTCTTGACCCATTCGTTGTTTAATAGCACACCATTCAGTCTCCATGATTTGGGGTGCTTTGGGTTTTTTTCTTTGGGGTTGGTTTCCAATTTCAGTCCCTTGTGGTCAGAGAAGATGCTTGGTATGATTATAATTTTCCTGAATTTGTTGAGGCTTGTTTTGTGTCCTATCATGTGGTCTATCTTTGAAAATGTTCCATGTGCATATGAAAAGAATGTGTATTTAGGTCCTTTGGGATGAAGGGCTCTATATATATCAGTTAAGTCCCTTTCATCTATGGTGTTGCTTAATGCCACAATATCTTTGTTGATAATTTGTTTGGAAGATCTGTCCATTTTTGATAGTGAGGTGTTAAAATTCCCTACTATAATTGTGTTGCTGTCAATATTTTTCTTGAAATCCTCTAAGATATTCTTGATATATTTTGGTGCCCCTATGTTTGGTGCATATATGTTTATGATGTTAATGTCTTCTTGGTGGATTCTTCCCTTGAGTATAATGAAGTGACCTTCTGGGTCCCTCTTTATGGCCCTTTTTTGATGTCTATTTTGTCTGA